GAGTGGGAGAACAAGCAGTGGCGTAGCCACGGGGGGGGGAGGGGCACGTGCCCCCTTCCCCTCCCCCCCCCAAAAAAACCCCGGATGAATGGATATTGAACAAGGCTAACAAAAGCTTGCCCGCAAAAAACCACACCACTGAAAGCTGGTGCCCCCATAAGATGCTGGTGTCCCCCTTGTACCCAACCACTAGAAAAATCTTAGCTACGCCACTGAGAACAAGTAACCCCTGTCAAGAAAAGGCCGCCCGAACTCGACCACGTAGTCATTCTTTTTTTTGGCAATAGCGCCACCTTCGTTATATACATGTAAATCTATGCGCCTCAACAAATTTGAGAACATCAACGCACACGAAATGGGTCCGACCATATGAAAAAATTTGAAAACTCGAAGCTATACAGACATGTCAGAGCACAAATTTGAAAAAAAAGATGCGGTCCTAATTCAGGTGGATGTACTTCGCCTGCAGCGCTAGCCGTGCCTCCCACCATGCTGTCTGACTATCGTGCATGAACTTGCCTTGCGATGACCCATGGGTCTGCATACAAAGTCTACGGTCTTAATAATGATTGATGACTTTCATGTTAATAGCATTGCAATAGTTTCAACACAAATTCGGTAGTAACAGCTACCGCAGGTGAAGCTTAATCACATGGAAATATCACAAATGAAATTGAAACACTCTTTATGGGGTAAAGAGTGACCCTGTTTGCGAACTGCTGCAAAACGAGGAAGTGGCGCTGATCACAAACTATTTTGCTTTTGTTGTTCTGTTGATCTGATCTGGTGAAAAGCTTTGCACCTTGGAGGAAATCCCCCAAACACTCACAGACGGATTAAATACTTGCCTGAAACCATCAAGATTAACGGGAACCAGTGAATGGAGTCCGCAGGCTAGGGACTGAGGGTTTTATGCCTACAAGTCCAAAGTTTTAGGGATAAAAGTGATGTCTGATCTCAGTTGACAACTGAAAAGGTGAACTGTGACCATGAATACTTGTCGGGTTAGCAGAAATCTCAGTTCGTTGCCTTCCAGCAATGCTACCCCGCGTTAGGCTCAGATCACTGGACCATTTTTATGTGGGCTAAAATCACTTAAAATGGCACTCACTTCTTTATACTATTACTTCAGAGAAAGACTTAAAAGAACGAGTAACTGCAACAACACTGCAGCTTAAGTTGACCACCGCATACCCAATGAACGATTTCGCACATGTGGAGCGTGGTTCCACAAATGTAATGGGCCTCGATCATTGCATTGGACAGTTGCGAGAGGATACGAAAGAGGTAGCAGGAATTTGCAAGTTCCGTGACGGAGTTATTAATTTCAAGCTACCATCATTAAAAGATTCTCAGGCGTCGACCTGTCACATGAGAAAACGTGAAAGACCTGAGTTCTTCATCCCCATCCCTGGATGAAAGGACACGGGCCTGCCTTCTCAATATCGCCAGCAAGCTGCTCTTCCCGTGAAACGAAAAAGGGTTGCGCCTATCAATCAATGTAAACGTGAATCTGATCAGACAAGGCGCGTGACCTCATTTGACCCGAGCATTTCGACTGCCAGTGGGTGAATGCCGACCTCATTGCCAATCTAACGGGGTACTACCACGGTACAATGAACGGCGATAAACATCTCTTTGACGAAATTTACCTAGCTGCAACTCCTATGACTGATAGATGTAGTGGCTGAAGTTTTTGGGAATTATAAACATGGAGCTACATTACATTTTGGCTGTGTCAATATTGGCAGGATTATATCCAATAATGCGAATAAAATGTTTCGTCATTTCCGGGGATTTAACGCCTTGTGATTTTTACAAAACCCAAATTATACTTTTGCTATACACAGGCCCTATAAAAACTGTTTAATCTCTTTCCGACGTTGTAAACTGACCTTCTAAAATATGCTAAATCTTTCACGGCTAGCAAGCTGAAACCCCGTTGACAATTAACGAACATGGCCTTACCTCCCCAGAAACTATTCCCAAGTGTGTTGATGATACAAACATTGCTAGAAACTATTTATTTTGAGAAGAATTCCGCACAGGTACCCGATGATCAGCGCATGTGTTGGAAATGCCATTCAAGTTCTGACAACTGCATTTGCGTGCTTATCGCCTGGGGGCGCTGTCGTACCCGACTGAATCAACAAACGGCTGACCGATTGGCGCTGGCGGGTCTGGTCAGATGGGTCCAGTCCACTAATTCAAGCCCATTGAAAACAGTGTAAAATCAGCACCGTTCAGGACCCAAAAG